ACTGTAGCCAAGCAGTTATACAAGGCTTCAAAGAATAATAACCATCTGTTCGACTGATGTGGGAAAACAAACATAAAAGTAATTAACCTCTTCACTTAGGCCCAATATACTTTTATGTTGATTTGGGGTAATATGTTTCCTAGAAAACTATGCCAGTCTCTAAGAACAAGCAATTAAACTTTTTACTCCCAAGACTGGGGAAAAAACACCTCTCTCTCCACACCCAAAGTACCTTACAAAAAGCCATTTACACATGCACCCATTTCCTTACATACTACTTAAAAAGCACCCATACTTCGAATAGCACAATTAAGAAAACATGCAATGCCTCACAAAGAAAGTAATTATGTTGAATGAACATTCCCAAATCATTGTACTTATGTATAGACTATCACAAAAAAAAAAGATAGTTTAATTACAGGTTTTTAAATAACATCTGGAACTAGTACCATAAACAAGCCCCTTTATTTTTGATCAGTGTATCAGCATCAATGACAAGATGTCATCGAAATGGACAAGACATACACTGCATACTTAAACCAAAAGATCAAACATGTTAACTGCTTTACCTCTTCTTTCCTGCTACATATCCAACATCCTCCAGGGACTGACAGCTGAAATGTATTTTACAAAAGTGTCAGCTACAAAAACACTACCATAACTTACTCTATCTTCCATAAGTAAGTTCAGATCATTATTTGTGCCTAAAATTGAGTACATACATCTCTTAAGAACTGCAGTCTTGAACTGACCAACCAAGCCGACTGCCTGAAACTGAGCCAGAAGTTACACATGAAGAACAGATGGCAATCAAGGCAGTCAGATCTCCATTATAATACGGATCTCATTATCCATTCTTGTTTCACATTGAGAGGAATACCGGTACAGTTGAGGCAATTAATGTCACTGCCAACTTAGGAAGGCAGTCTATTGCAGTAGTCTATTTTTAAGAGCTAACATTAAATGAAGAATGAATTAATTACATTAATTATGCTAAGTTTCTCAGGCAACTGTTAAGAAACAGGTGCTTACAAAGGCTGTTTCCTAAACCAGACAAAAATCCTTCTACTCCCACTCACTCCAGGCTTAAGTATCAGGGATTTTCTTTGTCATTGCTTATGCTAGAATTCCTTTATTTTGTCATATCTCAAAGACAACCTAATACCACCTCTCTGCTATCATGCATAACTTTAAACCTACAGCTTCCGATGAGAACATTTCATGTTTAAGAAAACAATTTTCATGGCACACGTATAGAAATAAAAATTTGGTGTATTTATAAGATACTCACTCTAAAACTAGAAGCTTAATCTACATAGCAACCATAAGCGTCTAGTGGAAGTCAGCTGACATTAACAGTTTAAGCACCCTTCTTGATACAGGATGAGGTAAGGCCTTGAAATAACAAGCACAATAAGGTTAATTGATGACTATCTAGTTTTCTTCACGCAGAAGGACTAGTAAATACTACCTGAGGCTAAACTGCAAGAGCCTAAGAGAAAATACTCACATCGCTTTTAGATTTTTTTTTCATTACTACAGTACTTATGGAAACAAACAAGTATGATATGTCAACAGATCCACTGGTCTTTTTATTGATATAATGTCTTAAAAATATTTAGATTTTCATTATTTCAGATGCTCTGCAATCAAATATTACATACATACACACCCTACAAAAGAACAGTGGTGGACAAAATGGGGGTAATGTCCAAGATACTTTTTATAAAAATTATGTAGGTTGAATAATAAAAATAGTTTTCGCTCAAAGCCAAAGTTTAGGAACTTTCCTGAAATGAAGATGAGTGAGTCTGTATGTATTTGCTTTTAAACATATACATCATTGCCTGGTTTCGGCATTAGAATTACTAACTCCTTGATATTAGTATTTTAGCTCAGTAAATGACCATGAACTTCCTAGCACCATATGGAATTACTTGTAAAAACCACAATAATTAGAGTTGAGTGAAAAAATTCAGCTTTTTTCTTTTGCGTAGAGCATATTATGTTCCTAGGTTCATGCACTTTATGTACCATGAAATCATGCACAGGATTATCTTTTAGCTGTTCCACACACCACATGTACAAGTCATGCAACGACATAATGCACCTGCCCATTCTCTCAGTACAAATTGTTCACACAAGCAAACACACATCTTTTCAGAAAGGCATGACTTTGTAATCACTAGTGAAATATTTAAGATTTGTACAGCAAGCAAGATACATGACAGCATTCTTTTGAAGTATTTCTAGCAACAGATTTACAAGGAAGCATGTAAGCACACTGGAATAATTATATGTATAACACAGCTAGTACTGACAACTGACTATTGGTAAGTTAACACGTGGTAATAAATGGGGTGTAGGGAATGAATGTTTTAAATGAGCACATTATGAAAGAGCTAACAAGAAAGTGAAGGTGAGGAAGGTTTAAAAAGTTAGTATGTTTCAGTCACACAAACTCCAGCAGTCTGTAGGTGTACTGCACAGCACTAAGAACTTAATGACAAACAGAAGTAGGTGCTCAGAAACAGTACATGCTAGAAAACTGCCACATAAAATAAAAACAGGCAAGGGTATTAAGAGCTAATTCACTATTCAGCAATTTATGCCTCTGTGCATTTCCTTTTAACAACACACAAATAGCCACTTAACGTATTTGTAATGATTTTCCCTTGCTTAAGTATTCTGTACAGCTTTTAATCTTTAAGGTGCTTCATACATTAATGTATATAGCATTACTAATTAATAATGTGTATTCAACACTGATTAATAATTTTTAGTTTAGGCAACCTGAGTATTCAGGACCAAACAGAAGTTCTTTTGTTGCACATAACTGGGATCTGACATGGCCAAAACCACACATCCACCCTGCTAGAAATGGTTTGCATTGGGAATCAAACCACATTTCATTACAGTAGCTTTGAAGTATTCTTGGAAGCAGAAATTAACTAAAGTACCAGAGAGTCTCCAGTTGTGACAAACTATTATTTTAACAACCCTCTTCATCAAACTCAGCATGCACACAGCAGCAGCTGATACAGAAACAAACCTCTGCATAAAGAGTTCAACTTTCTTGGAAGCTCGATTTAAATGAGCTCAAACTTTTACAGGCTTTATAAACTAAAAATCAGATATATCGAGTAGCTTTATACTTGATCAACAATCAATATAACCAAGAATGAAATACATACACATCAAACATAAGACTAGGGTGGCACTGTGATAAACTGTTAAAGTCCAATTTAATCAGAGGATACCTAACAAACCTTGGCAGAACAGAAAAATCTCAGAGATAGGGAAAGGAAGGATAATCAGAGTACCTCTATCAGGGCAAGGGAAAAGTCTTCCACTGAAAAAGTGATACTTCCTTTTGTGTAAAATTTAAGTGTAAAAAGAGAATGTTAATTGTTTGGCTAAAAACCAGTAATTAATTCCTACAGGTAGAACGCTTTTTTTGTTTTAGAAGAGCCCTGGGAAAATGGTGAAAATAAAATTCAAAACTAGTGAGGATGTGAAAAAGTACAGTAATTCTATTTTATGTATTATTAACTGTGCATTTGCAGGAGACAGACTGAAATATATAAAAGCAGATATAACAGGTACCTAGAGAGTAGCAAAACATTTTCAGAGACTAAACAGATTATTCCCCCCAACCTCCTTTGTAAACGGCAACAGGACTTCCCGTTAAGATGATTACTTTTAAGGGTAAAGAAGAGGCTAACCAAAAGTGCATCAGAATACAAGCTGTAAGCAAGCACATACAATAATTTCCTTACTAGAAACAGAGGGCAGCAAATCTGTAACGGCTGACCTTGCTTATTACACTAACTAGCTGTTGATGGACCGGAATTGTAATGTGCTGTACTCTGAAAGGGTTACAAACATAACTACAAGGGTAAAAAAACATTTCATGTTTCCCCATGCTATTAATACCACATTCAACAAAAAGAGTACCAAGTGGAACACAGAATAGTTATGAAAGAATTAAGCAATTAACTCACAGGATGAAATAACAACTGAGGGAAAAAAAAAGTGAGCTTACATCTATATGTAATCTTACCCATGAATCTCAGTACACTTAAACAAAATTATGACTCATCACCACTATTAAACTGGATGTTCCACTGACTTGTACAGAAGATTGACTAGTCCCCCAGCACACCAGAATTTCAATTTCCATTTAGGTTAGGAATTACCTTAACACTCACCTGAAGACTACAGCAATTTTTTTTTGGGGGGGGGGCAAAAAAAACCAAACAAATGAAAATAAACAAAAAATGCCTAGAAAAAAAACCACAAATGTAGACAACAAACAGAAAACCCCACAAACCCAAAACCACCATTACCATCCCAAAAACAATAAAAAAACCCCACCAGAATACAATGGAGAAACATGGGGAAATTATACTAAGCTTAGAGATGCAATCTGTCTTTTTTCAAAGTTTTGTTCTTATACTTCATTCTGTACCTTTCTGTGGTATTACTTTTACTACTTTGTCAACTTAAAAAGATAGAAATGTTCCATGGTAAGCAACCTGTAGCAGAAAGGCAGGTCTTTAGAATAAGAACTATACCTGAACGAGTCTCAAAGAAGAGAGTCTAGCTTCTGGATTTCAGCAATGAAACAGTAAAGAAGTGAACATGCATCAGGTATGACAAAAAACTAATGGTTGATTAATAAAAATAAGAAATTAAAGACACATGAACAAAACTAAGTTAAAGCAGCATGAACTATCATGAACTATAATTATCTAATGACAAAACAGCTACTTGAATTTCTAGCAAAACAAAAAAAAAAATCACTGTAGGTTACAATATACACATGCCGAACAAAAGAGCAGAGAGCATCATCATACTGCACAATTAGAACAAACAACTAGAAACTACATGCTAAGCATGCTAAAAAGCACCTCCTACAAGCTTAACAGAAACAGAAGCTTTTTCAATTCAAGCCTACCATGCTGTTACTTTGGCCAGAAAAAGCTGAATTTGCTTACCTCCTGTAAAAGATCTGCCTGTTCAATGGCTTTGAGAACATTTTTCTTGGAAGTCTCCTGAACTTCCCCTCCTAAAAGGAACTCATCCAGAATGAAATAGGCTTTTTCAAAATTGAAGATGATATCAAGTTCACATACCTAAAAAGAACACCAAGCATTAACAGAAAGTAGGAGGATACTGTTTATTGAGGTATATCCTCTCACAATATTTAACTTGTTTACAGCTTCACCAAACCAAGATGTTAGCCTCAGGCTGTAACTTTTTAAGAAACGGGCAACAACAACAAAACAAACAAGCAAACAAAAACAAAAAAAAAAAATCAATCCCTTGGAAAAAAAATACTTTTTTTTTTGCTTAAGTACAGTTATAGCAAACTCTCTGCAAAATGTTTTCATTGTTGAAAAGAATTCAATTCATAACTGTCAATATAATGTGGCTCTTCATGAAACAAGAGAACATTCCTACATAGAGTTCTCTTCTTGCCTGTGGTATCCAAAGGCAGAACATGCAATCTTACATAAAACATTAAAATACAATCATCTCAAATTTCTTATTCATTCTGTGCACTACCCTTGGAAGGTACAAGGATGAGCAACAGTTTTTCCGAGTGGTAATGCACATTACTGCAGTTGTTTGTTTGTTATCTTGATAAGCAGCTGTGTGCCATTTCTTTGCCCACTGCTCCTGCTAGTTCACAACCCACTGCTTCCTTTGGGAGCAGATACAAGAAATGCTTACACACTAGCAGTGTCAAGGAGAAGGAAGTCTGGCTGACTAGCCAGAAAGCTAAGTATAAGATTTTGCCTGACCTCAAGCGAGGCTATTACAAAAATGAAACAAATACAAGGCAATTAACTCCAGATTCATAACAGTTCTTCTCCCAGATTACTGGTATTCTGTATTTTAACAGCCATATAGGCAACCATTAGTTTAGTTAGGCCAAGCAAGCAACATAAAATGTGTCAGATGTACCTCTTAAAAAACATAATCAGCTAGCTGTTGAAAGTGCTGTGGGCATAAAGAAAAGTTCTGTAATATGAAGACACTAACTTACGCTGCCAAAATACTTGTCAAGAAGTTCTACATAGCGATGAATTATTTCTAGAGTTATTAGTTCGTTGTCTTGATCTTCAATAGCACAGCAGAAATAGAGGCTTGCATATCTGTAATAAAATAATCCTTATGTTAGCATAAGAACATGTACAAAATGAACACACTTGAGATGTATTATGCTCTCAGTAGTCCTTCATACTCAAATCAAGTACACTGTTACACTACATCAGCAGTCATACAAGCTCTACCGAAGAACTTTCAGCAGACATAGGACAGCAGACATATTCATGGGATCTGCCTCCTTGATTCAAGAAAGACTTCAGTCTTTATCACTCTTCAGTTGATGGAATTAAATTAGCTTAAGAGGTAACAGGAAATGGAAATGCATTAGGCTTTTTTTTGGCCTCCTGGCAGAGTTCTGGGGCAATTTTATTTTTTTTCTACTATCTGTAACATCCAAACACTGGTATACTAATTAACAGACTCAATCTTAAATTTTTATCTCAAAAGCCACACACTTCAGATAATAAAAACGACAGAAAATACCTTGGGAAAGATAAATTGAACTAACAATTAGAATTTGGTCTTTGTAGAGAATTTAACAAATGCCCAAAAACTCCAAAATTAATACTAATGTCATATACCCCAATTGCTACCAAGTCACCAACTCAATCACTACCAACTATCCTGGCATAAGGCTAACAAGACACCATCATCTGGTTTCTAGCAATCCACTGCCACCTTGGAAGACAGGGAATTCTTTATTTCAGATATCTTGGTTTGCCACTTTAACAAAAAGACCATTCAATTCTGCTGTACTCTACCACATTCTTGTTTAAGTCATGCTTAAAAAAAAAGCTGATAAAAAAAATAGAACAGAAATGAAAGCTGAATTTTTAAGTGCCAAAACCATATGTTATACAGACACACATGGCACAACTGAGATTTCAAGTCACACCTGTTGTAACTGATAATTTACAGGAAGCAGAAACAGCTTTTGTTTACCTACTCAGAACAACTGGCCACATTAAGCACTTGGTAGCCAGCCCTACTGAAAAAAAGAAGCCATTTAGATATGAATGGCAAGTTTAAGATGTGCATTTGTTTCCCATGCTGTGTGGAGACCTCATAGCAGCCTTCCAGTATCTAAAGGGGGCCTATAGGGATGCTGGGGATGGACTCTTCATTAGGGACTGTAGTGATAGGAAAAGGGGTAATGGGTTAAAACTTAAACAGGGGAACTTTAGACTGGATATAAGGAGGAAATTCTTTCCTGTTAGGGTGGTGAGGCACTGGAATAGGTTGCCCAGAGAGGTTGTGAATGCTCCATCCCTGGCAGTGTTCAAGGCCAGGTTGGACAAGGCCTTGGGTGATACGGTTTAGAGTGAGGTGTCCCTGCCCATGGCAGGGCGGTTGGAAGTTGATGATCTTAAGGTCCTTTCCAACCCTAACTATTCTATGATTCTATGCATATTTTATAAGATGGGACTTCATAAGTCAACAAAGAAAGTGTCAGGGTTTGGGCTAGAAGTCTGGCAAAGAAAAAAAGTTGCATTTTGTAGTACGTTCAAATTTGCTCACCTAGCACCATTTATGATTAGAACATCCCCCCCACTCTGAGTCAAACTGCTGTGGCTTCATTATGAAAACTTCCCAGAATAACTTTTGAATAAGAATTTTAAACTTTTTTAACAAAATTACTGCCTGCCAATTTTTCCACCCTACCACAAAACTTTGGGGGGAAGGGAAGAGAGGAAGACACCCCCACTGAAGCCCTTCACACTAAATCCCTTGCTCTTTCATCTCTTCATCATAGGGACTTGTCAGCTCATCAGAAATCCTATCTGAGCACAGTTCTTTTGATTTTAAGTTGTTGTGCTTGTGCCTCGCCAATTTTTCAAACAGCCTGCAAGATGCAATCTGTAAAAGGCATCTTTTAGACAAAGCTATTTTAAAAAGTATTGGAAAGTGGTACTATAAAGAAAAAATCATTTTCAAATCTACTGAGGAATTTAGAAGTCAAACTCCAACTTACTGTATTTCATTGTACAGACGGAGCTTTGGTGCATTAGTTGACATTTAAGCTAATTACCAGCACTCAGGCCAGATCCATCTTTTCTTCATATAGCTTTCTTCATATTCAAATGATCAGCACTGACTATAAAGTGTAGTTAAAACTGTTCCCTTACAGTGCTAAACACAACTTGAAACACATACAGGAAACATTATCAAATTTAACTCAAATATTTGAATTTTAACCACATAGAACAGTCCTTTTGTGCTTCCCCATTACTTATGAATCTTTTCTGATGAACAGAACTATTTTATGCAAATACCCACAAAGAAGAGGGGGGTGGGGATAGAAGGGAGTGATTACCTAACATAAAGTACTTTCCCAGAAAGGTGCCTGCTCTCAACATCCTCGTTTAAAAGAAAATGTAGCATACTTTTGAAAGACTTTATTTGGCAGCTAGTGAGTAGACTACACATTCAAGCTCTGCCAACTGCAGTTTTGGCAAAAGAATACCAAGAAATAAAAACTACTCAGTGGGAATCTTAACATGAAAGAGAGGCCTGGGTATCTATCATTATATGCAGAGAATATTTTTCCAAGTATTTTCTAAGTAACAACCATAACTAATGGATCACTACTCAACAAAAGAAAATAAATGCAGATTCAATCAGCCTATATGGCAAATAGCCTTAGACTATAAACAAGTCAGCCATCACAGCAAAGGGCATGAGCATACTACTAAGGTATACCTTTCTTCTGATGCAAATTCTCAAAGACAACAGTTTAATATCAATTTTTTCTCTTTGCAGGCCAGGGCTTCATAAAAAAGTATCCACATCTAGTCTACCACAGATAAACTAAAGGTTTTGCCAAGTGTAAAGTTTAAATGGAGAATGCCCTACAATTAGATTACGGCACTGAAGGCTGAAGAAAGATTTCTGCTCTGCAGAAATGCCATTTTCTCCTACTGAGCCTGACATAAACCTGTCTTTCGTATGCACCCACTGAAAAAGTAAATCTTTATAGTAAAGTATGCCACATCACACAAAAGCAAATCTAGTGCAGCCTGTAAGAAAAACATTCTGCCCTGTTTTCTTCCACTTGCTATTGTGTTTTGTTTGGGGGTTTGGTCTTTTTTTTCCTCGGTTGGTTGGCTTGAGAGTTTTTTTGTTCTTGTTTTGGGTTGGGTTGGATTTATTTTGCTTTGTTTTCCCTTTTCTCTCTCAGTAAGTATCTTCATACCCAACTTAGGTGCTTACATTCATTTAGGGAAATATTTTAGGACAGAACTCCCTCCACTTGTCAGAAATGGAAGCAAACACAGAAACCCCCCAGAAGAGCTTAGGGGAAAAAAAAAAAAAATCACCTAAAAATCCAATGTGGAATAAAAGAATAAAAAGGAAACACAGGAGGCATATAAATACTTTTACAAACTCCTGCCTTCAGATAGATTACTTTAGGGAGATTTTTTTAGCACTAAACAAATTCATGAACCTACCCCTCAACAGCTGCAATAGTTCAACAGCAGGAAGCCTTATGATTGGCAGGCAAAGCTTCAGCAGAGCTCTCTGCTACTGCTGTACTCACAACAAGGTTCAGTAACTCTGCCAGGAGATCAGGTCACTGAGTGCAGAGCATAATTGATAAACCCTATCAGTTCAGTAATATTCTTCTATTAGCTGAGAGAACGCCTACTTGAAGCCAGCACTGGAAGTTTGTCACAAGGCAAAGCTACAAGCAAGCCAAAAGTCTGTCAGCATCTGAAGTCACTTTGAACGTAGATCCTAATTACAGAAATTTAACGCTTACAGAGTTTGACAGGAGCAGAGATGAAATGCAAATGACAACCAAGCTGCCTTTAAAAGGCAGGCAGGTGGTTACAGGAGCCCCAGAATCTGTGATTTGATGTTAGTTGTTGACCCAATGAAAACTGGGACAGCTAATAAGTTGTGATTAATAGAAGATTTTTTCTCCTCCAAAAAAACTTACACATTTGTTTGATAAAACAAGTTCTGAGCACTTACGACAGGCAGATCAGTCACTATTCAGCTATAGAGAGATTAACAATACCACTACTGAAATTAAGGGTTTTTTTGTTTTTGTTTTTGTTTTTTTTTTTTTTTTTACAGTTTATCATTTCAGCAAGGCTATACCCTCCAGTAGGTTTAGAAATGCACAAAAACTTGGTACTGCTAAGCATCTAAGAATTTTTTCTCAATACCAAGGTCCTTCTAGTGATGCATGAACTGGAATCCTGTATAAAGACGACCTGATCAAGTTAAAATAATCAAACCCAAGTACCTAATTCACTATAATAACTGCATTCAGTTTTACAGTGACCTAATTAACATCACAGGGATACTTTTAACAGATTCAACTGGCAGCTAAGATGTACATAGACAGTGATTATGTCAACTGCTTGTTGTGCTACCATACCACTAGCCACAGGCCTGCACCTTAGGTTCGCAATATTTGAAGAATAGTCTCTTTTGTTGTTGGGGTGGAGGGGGGAAGGAAAGGAGGGAGGGGGTTGCGAGGGGCCAGAGGAATAGGACAGTTGAAAAGAAAAGCTTTAGAACTTACTTTTCCACAAGACTTTAACATAACCTATTTTAAAGTAAAAGACATTTGCCACAACATTAAGGGCAGCACAAACTATGACTATTTTAGCTTCTGGTGGTATGAATTATTTTCATGATGTAGTATATTGCAGTTATAAAACTTCATACTGAAAACATATAAAAGCAAAGGCAAAAACCTTAATCAAATTATGAAACAACAATAAGCAAGCCTCATGTTAGCCCATATTAACAACGTGAAATGTATATAAAAATCAGTTATTCTGCAATTCCAATTTTGACTGCATATACTACACCATGAAAATAATTCATATCACCAGTAGCTAAAATAGTGACCAGCTGACATCTGGGGGGGGGGGGAGGGGAAATCACATCCCATCTTAAGTTCATTTTTTCAGTAAAACTACAAATTTTAGCATTTAACACATTTATCTGCCACAAGCGGACAGCTGCATGAATTTCTAACCTGTATGCACCAGTACCACTAGAGCTAGCTCTTAGAAGGACAAAACATGAACAGTGATTATTAACTGCATTTGCTAAATTTCTAATCAGCTGTCTACAGATGGTTCCCTCTCTATTTTCATAAAGTGCAATTATTGTTGACTTCCCATATTTGAATTTCTTTTTCTTTTTTTAGACAGCAAGTCACTTCAGATCTCCATTTGTCTCCTTAAGTTAAACACTCATATCCTTTTCCAGTATTCTGGTGTCAACTAGCCTGAAAAACTTTCTTCCAAACGAGCTACAGAGTACATACACCCTAACTCATGACCACATAAAAAGCAGGGCAACTTTTGATCTGACCCTGGTTTGCAACCGTTATCAATGCTACATGCCTGAAACTAAAGAAAATAAATCACACACATTAAGATGGATTTTAAGACAGTTCTATTTTCTTGAAGTTTCATTCAGAAAGCAAACTAAGGATGACATGTTAGAGAGCTAAGGAGGCTAATCAAAATAGTCCAGCTTTCTTGATAAACACTAAGTATCAAGGTGGCAAAAGCTACTGGCTTGTCAATTCTGCATTTGTGTTCATTCTGTTCTTGCAAATAGGTACATCAATGCAACCCTTGAGTATACAATTCTCTGGGCTGCAATATCTAGATCAATTCTCTCACATGTTGACAGTAAATACACTCTAAAAACAAGAGCAGCGCATCAATTTCAGCACTTTCAGAGTGTTAATAGCAACACACACAACATATACAATAGCACTATGCACATACTTTTCTAGTTTATATTGAAAAACATTTGCAACAGAAGTTCACATCTTTAATAATAGATTGGACAAGAACAGATACCAGCAGATACTCAAGAGCTTTTTGCAGTTTCACAAATCATACAAAACTCAGATGTGTTTCTCTTTTAGCCACCCACCCTTCAGAATGTATTAGACTTTGATTATCATAACTGTCTTTTGGGGATTATCTAATTTTGAGTTATAACTGATCTCTCTTTTCAAAGAAATCATACGAGCTTGTACTCATCACCTTTAATGACAATGTGATGAGTGGAAAAAAATCCCACTAACCTAAAAGCTGTAATCAGATACAAGAATCTAAACTATCACTTCTTATACTTAGTCCTTCTGACAACGTTTTAGTCTTACTGAACATCCTGAAAAAGCAGAATTAAAGACTGGAGATGTTTATTAGCTTGATACAAGCTAATCTTAACAAGATTTCATAGGCTAACTGTGCCAGATTGGTTTGCACAGTGAAGTAAGTAAGCTACTGCAGTCAGCTGTGCAAACCAGCAGTCTAGCAGACAGAATGCAGTCTACATCCAGCCCAAAATGGTCTAGGATACATCTCCCAGCAAATTTCTTCATTCTCCCTAACCAGAGGATCCACAACACATTACTGAGATGCATGAACACCAAAAGTTTCAGCAACAGAGTCATAGCCACATTTTCACCACTTCCCTTAGACACAAAAAGGACATGCAAAGTTGTCAATAGCAATGAACAGACAAGAAGGGAAAGCAGCTGCGTGAAATTAAACCACCACCAGAAGAGCTACTGCTGTTCAAGACTGGGCAAGGAAGGGAACAGACTGGTTTACATATGCTCAATTTTTCTGATTTAGTCCCATAAAAGCCCAGCTTTAGCACTTGTAGGCATTAGCACTCAAGGGAGCACACAGAGAATTCGAGTAAGCTTGCCTACATGCATGTACAAGAAGTTTTGTTAGATAATCAAGAGGCTGAAATAAAAACTATCTGTGCTTTCAAAACAGCCTTATGCATTGTTCCTCCTTTTTCCTCCTCGTTAAAAAACTACATGCATTAGACTGAATGACATTCATGTGCATGAAGTTCCATGCAACAACATGTACATGAAACTGGACTTAAAACCTCTAAGCCTTTTTGATTCTACCCATTTGGTACACTAGGAAAGAATTACAAACTCTTCATTTCAGCTCCAGTCCTCTCTGCCTTACCTATAGAGAGAATATAATAATATTTATTGTAGGGCACAAATCATTTAGTATCTCAAAGAGGGAAATACGAATGCACAAACCTTCTAGGGGAGATAACTCAAGGTTTCTTGGTGCCAGCTTTAGCTGGAAGAGATTCAGCCTACCGAATCAGGATGAGGATTACAGTTATTTCTGGAGAAAATTATGTTCACATGGCTATGCTATAATACATTCTAAAGATCAGCGCAAAGCTGAAAAATGCTTTTAAAATACTCCTAGAAAAGTTATGGAACAACTGAGAAATGAAATTATTGCAAAGAAAATTATACATTACTTCCATCAGAAGAAAGCTAGGCATGATTTGTTCAATTAGGAGAAATGCTTTTTTGTATTCACAGAAAAAAAAATTAAAGAAAGGACAAAAAAACAAACTGGGTAATCTCAAAAATTATTCCTCATTTCTGTAAGCCTTTAAAAGCAAGCTACATTTTTAGGTGATTTATGAAGTCACTGACTTACGAAATTCAGTTTTCTTTATCATGTATTAAATCTTACATGCTTCATATTTGTCAGCATTTACGTACTGTGTATCTCAACGGAGAACCAAGACCCACCACTCCTTCTGGAAGTGGAAGGAAACCTCATTTCTTCAGCACATTTCTAAACGCATGAATGATTTTCCACACATGAATGATTCCTAGTTGGTTATCAAATTAGATTCAAGGGAGAGTCAGTGCTCTCCATAACCAGCAGAGGCAAGGAAAAAGCAACAAAACAAAAACAAAAACAAATCAACAACAAAAATCAACATTCATTATTTTCTTGCTACTTATTACACTGTTTGCCATGTAAGGCAATTATGAGGTTAGTGAGACAGAACAACCTTTTGTAGACAATCTTCAGGTCTCTCCATTCCAGGAAGCTGCACATTTTCGGTTTGCGGGCTAATACTGTTTGGACAAGTTCCCTTGTGATTTTCTTCTTTTCTTTGTCAGATAATGGGACATACCACTTCTGGAGTCTCAGTTTCCCCTGGCGACTGAAAAGCAACATAAACTGCATCTGTTGAATTGGGGTGGGGGGCCGGGGAGGAAGGGGAGAAAAGAAAGGGGGGGGAAGGTTACTCTCAGGCTCTTAGTTCTAAAAAGATTTATATGAGAAAAAGCAAGCAGGAAGCAAGACAGCCATCGAAAACTGCAACCATGTTATGTATTTCTATAGCCATGGCAGACGTTACACAAGATTGTGAGTACCAATAACACAAAGGATTCTGCTGAATAAGGTCAGTGATAGCAAAGATAGCAGAAAGCACACGTTTCAGAAACTGATGTCAGAGCCACCAAGTAGCAAGCGAATACACCCAAATTTCAGACAACAATCTCCAGCACTGTTCCGGTTGCATCTGCATTTACTACAGAAAATTACAAAACAAAAAACAACAACCCAGCACAGCGGTCTCCTCAAATACCCAAACTCATTTTGAATTCACCGGATTAGAGCCTTACAGCAGGAGCAATTTGCACTTTAGATCTTTCTGAAAAGCCTCAGAATACTTTAAAAGACATTAAATCTCCCAGCAGAGAGTCCTACGGAACAGAAAAGCCTAGTCTTTCCACACATTACAACAAAAGGAGTTGAGATTGTTTTCCCTGCGATCGTATGTTCAGGTCTCGCTTCCTCTAAAGGAGTGATGTTGCAATTATGTTATAAGAGGAACTTGCCGACTGTGTTTTCCAGCAGCTATAACATTAAAAGAAATTAGTTTTTCTCTTTTCGCTCAAAGTTGTTTCGAGCTGGTGAAGTTTCCCAGGCAATGACAGGCGTGAAATACGACGAGAAATCCCAGCCTAGTCCCGGATGACAACTCCGACCAGCGCCAGCACACACAAGAGGCGGCAGCGGCGGCTCGAAGCCCGGTGATGCCGAGGCGCTCCCTCCGCGGGAACAACCCTCCGCGCCCGCGGTCTCCTCCGCCCGCCGCCACCACACTCCCCAGCACTCCCCTACCTCAGGAGACCCTCCCTTCGTCCCCGCCACGCGCCCCCGGCCGCAGTTGTGGGTCGGGCCCGCCCCGCGCCGTGAGGAGACCAGCGCCCACCGGGCAAGGGGCAGCCGACGCCCGTCCCAGCTTGGGGCGAGGAGCTGGGCAGGAAGCAGCGCCTTGGTCGCCACAGCATCTCTTTATGGTGTGGAGTGGCAGGAGGGCGAGCAGCCACCGGCAGCAGCCCCCTCCCTCGGCCGCTACCGGCTGCTGCCAGGCGGGCTGGAAAAGAGGACGTCCCGCAATCTCGGGTAAGAACAGCTCCCGCGTCCCGCCGCACCCCAAAGGCAGGCTCCGCACCCCGACGCTATAAGGGAAGGGAGTCCGCCTCCACGCTACTGTGCTCACCGTGTCCTAGATGGGGAGGGGGGGGGGAAAGAACGAGAAGAAGAAGGAGGACGAAGGAGAAAACAGCGGCTCCACTATCCAGACTGCCACTGCTGTTGCTACCGCGGCTGCCGAGCGGGACTGAGGGGAGGCGAGATGCCGCCAGCTCGAGCCCAGCGCGGGCGCACGCGCCCACCCCTTCAACGGCCAACCGCTCGGGGAGGTCGGGGCGGGGCCGGACTCGCGGAAGGCGCTCGCGGGCTGGGGGCGTGGCAATGCAGGAAAGGGGCGGGGCCAGGCTGTGCCACCGTTTGTACACCCCCCCCCCCCCACCATCTCGCAACAAAACTTTATTAGCTCGTCGGCTTCGCGTGGGGAGGGGGGTTTGGTGGTGGGGCACGAGACCAGCACATGCGCAATGCCGCGAGCCAAGGGGGGGGACCTGAAGGAGCTCGCAGCCACCCAATCAGGTTGCTCAGTGCGGAGGAGGGAGGGAGGAGCAAAGCATGTTTATTGACCAATGAGAGCGAGGAGCAGGCGGCGAAAGGAGGAGCTGGCAGAGACGGTAGGAGGGGCTGGAGTGGGAGGTGCGGTTAGAGACCTTAATTTGCGTGGCCCGAATTGGGATAGGGCGAGAGCCGGCGAGGAAACAGCCAACCAGGAAGCGTAACTGCAGATAGCGGTCCCTCCAGCAGCCAATGGGCTGGCGAGCCACGGAGTTGGGGAAATGACATCAGTCAATTAGGCGGCCGGAGATGTGAGGCTCTCCTCCTTAAGCCTTTCTCCTCCCCGGGGGCGGCCGCACCGCGCCTGCGCCGCGTCGTGTTTCCCTCCAGCACGTGTGCGCCCCGCCTGGGGGCGGGCGGAAGAGGACGGCGGCAGGGGTGGGTTTAGGCGGTGATTGAGCCTTTTCGTGAGGCGGGCGAGCGAGTTCCCTCCCCGCTCCTCGCCGCGAGAAGACATGACCCCGCACAGAGATCGATGTGCGGGGGTTCGCTGGTGTGTGGGGAGCTGAACCAGGGCAGGTGGCACCGTCTTTCATCGGGAAGCTCCCCCTCAAAGGCAGCTTGCTTGGTCCTTAGGTTGGCATTATGGGCCTCCGTTATGTGTTCAGAGGTGTTGTGTTTCCCAAATGCAGTCGGGTTTTATTCCTGTGCAGCTGAAGAGGTTTTCGTGCCAGAACAGCTTGATTTTGTGGTTTGGTTGGTTTTTGGTGAGTTTGTTGGGGAGATGATATAGGTGAAATTTTAGTTGAAAGAAACACAAGAGATGTGTCTCTGAGACAAAATTAAGGCAGCTTTATTTGAAAGTATTTTAAGGACCTAATGCTCTCTTATGTCGCTGGTGCGCATCCCTGTCCTTCCCACCCCAGCAGTATTAAAGGTGGCAATAATCAGGAAAGATCACTTTAAGCACCCGATCCTTTCATGGTGTGATGGGATTACAGGAGAAGATTGTACTCGCTCTGTAGCTCTCCATTAGGAGTAGCTCCAAGCGCTTTGGGATATGTCATGCTTTTATTACTTTTTATTATTGATACTTAAAAAAAAAAAAAAAAAAAAAGAGCCTGTTCTTCTGGCTGCAAAACAGCTGTGTCAGCAGAAACCAGTGCTGAAAATGCTTTTGTTTAAAAATGTGGTTAGTCTAAGAGGTAAGCCAGTTTTTCTGGCATTTCAAGGAATGCTATATTCAATTGTACTTGAGGAAAACTGCAAATATCTTTCCGTTTTTACAGCAGAGGTTATAACTCTTAGCCAAAAGTGACATAAGTTTCATGAAACCAAACTGAAAGGATAAGGCAATTGCAATATTAGAGATCATGTAGAATGTGAGAGCTACTGATGTTAGGGGCTTGTTCCTGTCATACTTAATGTTTGTTCAGCAGCTATCCTGTTCTCATTTGAACTTACCTGTCACGAAGTGTAACAAATATGTGTGGATCTGTTACCTCGTAGAGGCTTCCTTTATACCAGTGTATTATTTTGTCTGCTGTGGTTGCCACCCATTGCAGCTCCCGCTTGTTTGTTGTGATCCTGTTCCATGACCTAAAACATCCTGTTGTTCAGAAAGTTTTCATAAAGTATCTCTTTCCTAATATGCACTTCACTGTTCTTGAATTTAGCATCATATATCCCATGAGTTCTGTGTTAAAAGTGCATGCACACTGCGGATGCTTCTAGATCTTAAGCCAACTTTTATTTCTCTTGTCAGAGCTACTTCAAGTATGTTAGCATCATTATGGTAATGGAAGTTCAGAAGTTAATTTCTGAAGTAGTTGCACCAGACCTGTATTTTGATTTGTTTCTTCCCAGCTCAATGAAATATTTATGCAATATGGATCAAACCACACACTCTACAAATGCTTAGTTGAGTGAAATCAGGGGAACTACCCAGATGGCTCAAGACATGTATGTAATTTGGTGACATAAATGGGATATGGAATATTTTTTTTTATTATTTTTTTTTTTCTTTTTGTCAGATTTCCTGATTAGTTTCAGTTTCTGGTTTCATCCAGTGATACAAGGGCAATTGCTACAGTTTTTCCCCTTCCTCTATTACTTGGCTGGAATACTTCAGGCTTTAACCTGGAGTTTCTTAATTAAAAATTCTTCTGGTCTTAATCATTCTGACATATGCAGCTTCAGGTGGTCTCATAAAGCATGTGATACCATTGGTATGTCAGTCGTGCTGGGAACTGTATCTAGCTGTGTCTAACTCAGCTGAAGCTTTGTCTTCCTCAGCCTGTCCTGCATGCCCTCATCACTGCTCCAGCCAGAGGATGCAATTTTATCTAGTCTACCCATATTACCACTTATATGATCATTCCTTAACTCATTTCTCTCAAAATTACTCTGCTTACTTTAACCAGTTTAAGGTGCAATTCTGTGGCAGTTTCAAATTACCTAAATCCTGACTTCTCCTACCCTGTCCTTCCATTCCCAGCTCCATGTTCTGATGTCTTTTTCTGTGCTAGTACTTGGCTGCATATCACACAGGGCATTGCTAATGAGGCTGCTTTGGCTGTACTGAGTTAGTTGGTTTCAGGATTGAGTACCTCTGTCAGGAGGGCAGTAGCAAACAGAGGTAATTCTGTCCTTTGTGTTTGTGCTGTTTCTTTCGGGAACTTTAGGAGACTTGCTGTTTGCATTTTTTTCTTGCGTTTTGTACTAATGTGCCTCTTTATACCAACTCCATTTGTTCCTGTAAGAAATTATCCTGTCACCTATTGAACTAGCAATATACCCAACTAGCTGTGATTATCAAATTGATAAAGATACATATGATGCTTAAAACAATAATATAATAGCATTCGAGCATTCCACAGACACGTCACAATGCAAATGTCATGCAGTCTAATTTTACACATGACATGGCGAGTCTTCTATTCATTAGCCTTTGTGTTTTGTCCTAAATGTGGCTTTCACAAGATGGATTTTAAAGAATTAGCTCAGTATTTTGATTTCTCAGCCTTGGATGATAACCCCCAGGTTTAGTACAGGTGAATTTTTTTAATTGCTACACTTGTAAAACCCCATTTTTCCATTTTAGAGTTAAGGCAAGTCTTCAGGGGGTATACCCATTGACCATAAGACATTTGGGGTTCCCAGCCAAGAGTTTGTTCTCTGGGTTATTTCCAGCATGACTTGAGACACAGAAAAGACTGCCTCAAGTTGGGGAAAGAGGCAGGGTGGGAGGAAGGAAGCTTATATCAAATGAGATTAAATTTGCC